TATTAACTTTTATTCTATCTTTATTCGTGTCAAATTGTTGACTCAATTTAATTGGAGTTTCACAAGGTTTGTAAGCAATTATTTTTGTTCCTCTCAAAATTTTTATAATGTATTTTTATTGAGAAATAAAAGTTTTTTTCTTAATTGATTCAGTACTATATTCAGAAAATATTTTAGTTTACCAAGCTCTTCAATTTCAAATTTTGTGTTAATTCTTTTCAGAGTAATTGATCTCATTATTTTTATCTGCAATAACTACATTATCAACTTACATAATAAAAATTAATTTTTTTTTTGTTAATAGGATATTCTTAGAAGGTTGTATGATCGTTTTGTCTTTCTTTATATTTCTTTCTATCTATGGCTTTTGTAAGCCTACCAAATTATGCTCTTAGGAATTGTTTAAGGTCATATGGTGCCTTTTTAAATTTGCACATATTATTTTCTATGAGCTAGATATTAAACTTCTTCAACATCTCCATGTAAAAGGACATTTTTAATATCATATTCTTATATGAAACATGTAAGGTTAGCAACTAGAGAAATTGTGAAACAAATTATATTTATTTTAGTAATGGGGCCAATTATTTTTTTGTTAATCTATTTTGTAGGAATAATCATTTTCTATTATCTTTTGCTTCATATCGTTTGTTGTTTCCATCAAAAACTTGCATCATATAATTTTTTCTCTTCTGATCTCTCAACGATATCTTAATTATGAATTTTGGGTGTCAGGGTATGAGGATTGATGAATAATAAACTTTTTTTATTGAAAAAGACAATATAGCTTAAGTAAAATAATCTTGACATTTATTTGTCCAATATTTTTCTTAACCTTAACACTAATTTAATTTTTTTATCATAGAGATTGACGTTGATTTTTTTATAAGATAAACCCATGCCATGTGATTATATAATCTTTAATAAATATGACAGATCCTTTGACTTTAGAAATATTTGTAATTTTTTGAGGGTCTTTAAATATTAAAGTGAATTATCAATGAAAAAATTAGAGGATTTGAATTCATTTTTAGCAATTTCATAAGTTTTATAATGAAATTTTTCAATATCAATATTTAAAGAAAAAGAAAAAAGATTTAAAGATATATATACTATTTTAAAGGAGGGATATCTTTTCTATAATGATGGCTCCAAATACTATCTTTATTTATAATAGATATGGTTCTCAAACAAGTATAATTAATAAGTTTTTTTAGTTTTTCTAATCGTCTTCCTTATAGTGAGACCATGAAGAAAACAATGATTAGTAAAAAATATCATCTTATAATTATGGTCTTTGGCGAGTTTATGAATAGACAAAAAATTTATTGTTAGGTTAGAATCATGTTGCATATTATTGAGAGTAGATTCAGTTAGGTAGCCATTGGATACTTTTTTGTATTGTTGTGATAATATTTATTGATATAGAAAAGGTTGGCAAGGTTTATGATGCGATGGGTGGTCCTCGCATCTATTATCCACATATTTTAGAGAAACTACTTGAGGTATTAAAAATAAAAGTTAGAATTCTTACTACATTAAGCTAGAGTGCATGATTCAGAAGGTTTTTCAATAGAATTGAATTTTCTTAGCTTGTTTGAGTCCTTCTATTTAACAAGACATGCCTACATTTTTATTAGGTTTTTTATTTTCCCCAAGGCCTTGGGGCTTTCCATGGAGTTTCTCTCATTTCTCTTTAATATATATATTTTTTTCTTAAAGTACTCGCACTTCAAGTTGCTTTAGGAATAATCTCTTATCCCCATTTTTTTGGACGATTCGGCGATAAATGATACCAGAGTTACCCAAACAATAATATGAACATGTAATTACAATCGAACAAATGAAAATATGAAATAAAAACAAACATGACACATGACATGTGACCAGGGTGAAACTAGGGGTATTGTGGTGGCTGTTAGCAGTTTGGAAAGGTGGCGATAAGGTAGGGAGGTGGAGTAGAGGGGTGGGTGCAACTGAAAAACAACAGGTACTTGCTGTCTTGGATGACAATGCAGAGGGAGTGGGATGACACATGGAAAACATCTGCTAGAGGAGTTTCTAGGCGGTTGCAACCAATCATAGTGGCTAGAACAACGATGACAACAAAGAGAGTTGGAACAACAGTGACAACAAAGGTAGAGGGCTAGAACAACAACGATTGTGAATGTGGAGAGCTGGGCAGCAGTGGCAGCAAAGATGGAGACCGGAACACTGAGAAAGTTGTAGGAAAACAACCACAGGTGGCGGTTCTGGCCAACTACAGCTAGGATGGGTGACAGGGAGCGACCCTGGAAGCGAGATATAGCCATAGCACCACTTGCCCCTTGGATACAGCTCTAAAAGTGAAACTCGAGACACTGAAGACTGACCTAAATAGAAATGTGACAAAAGTAACCCTAATACATCAAGAAAATAAATTTATAATAATATGATAGCAAGGAGTGGGCCCAAGGGACTGACCGACACTCCATAACAAAGAAAAATCTGGACCGGTTTGGTCCGGGCAAGTAAGTGGCCATTGCTTACAGTCATTGGTTCCGCGTTCACCCCATTCAGTAAAAGGAAACTGTCGCATTTGACTTCTAGGGTTCAGGGAGCTTCGACCTCAGCCATCAAAGCTTCTATCTTCAAATAGTATAGCGTTTGGTCGACCACGTTGAAGGTGGTGGAGCTGTTGATAACAACCGGGTAAGTCAATCCTGCAGGCGTTGCCATTCGAAAGCTTATCCTGATAGAATAGATATCTGTCCTCTTTTGGCATAACCTGAACTGGAACATGAACCAAGCCTTGAGCCATTAAATATGTAATTGATTTTTTCCACTTATCGTACTCGTCTAAGTGTATCAGATAAACAAGGATATAAGGAAGAATCAACTCTGAGACATAATCTATGGCAATCTAGGAAACTCTCAATAGAAATCACTTTGAAGAGGCCTCCTCTTCTTTGTTGGAACCTGAATCCCATTGCAGAATGTTCTTTCCCGTAGGGCTCCTGAGGCGATTTCCAATGCAATGGTTCATCCATCTTGTTTGATCATCAGTCAGTGGGTACACTACTGAACTAATTTTAATACCCAAATAGCTTTAACACCCAAATAACATCATATAATCTTCTAGAAATGGCACATAAGCTTCCCACTTTTGACATGTTGAACCTCCCTCAGTAAGTGCAACTTAAGAAGAATATCCATTGTCCATTTCTTCAGTAGTGCACTGCTCGGTGAAATAGATTGTATTTTTGTTTGGGCAATCTGATGCACTATGTCCAAAATTGTGGCACTTGACGCTTTTTCTACTTGAAATGAATTTGGGAGTGTTGGATTGCTCCACCTATTCTCCACTTTGAAGCATGAGGTCCACACCACCCTTCAAACACAATTCAACCCCATGATCAAATAACAACAGCACACAGAGTGGAGCATCCCAAAGTCTACCCGTTAGAGGAAAAATTAGTTTAGAGTGGAGAAAAGGTGGAGGCTGCCAGTACTCTTAAGTCCATCACAACCATAAATTGCTTCAAGTGCCATGACTTCATACATATTACATCATATTGCTTAAACAAAAGAATGTTATCTTTCACTGAGTAGGGAGCAGTTGAAGAAATGGGCAGTGACATGAGAAATTGAATTCATCAAAAAGTAGTACCCGCTTGTAGCGACGGGGGAGAGTTGCTAGTGATTCAAACTGAGCCCATAAGAGAGATTCCAACAAAATTAACATTGGTTGTCCTTGAAGATCGTGAGTCCAAAGAGCCAATACTAGAAAAGAGGCAGTCCTTGATAGAGTGTTGATAGATATCCTAACTGATAATTTATCTCTATGTGCTTGCCAGTACTAAGAGAGGTCAAGCGTGCTTCACTTCAGATGAAAATGAAATGTTCTTGAGCAATTTTTGGAAGACCTTATAAACTAAGCCAAGGGCTAAGTTTCAGTTCAGTCCAACAGTGCATCCACCAACAAATGATCAAATAGGAGGGGTGAACCGCAATGCTGAAATTCTCCTTAGATGCTTTGTGGGAAAAAACGTCCAACAGTGGGATCCAGGTCCTTCGAGTGAAAGATGAAAAAACCTCTTCAATTAGAGGTGAATGATGTGGGAGGGTTCATGGGTTTACAAGATTGTATACCCATAATTTCAAATCGCGTGTGTTCCGCAATACTGCAGAAACAAGTGTTCCACGATCACAGGAAGACCAGACGAGTACTTTTCGCTCGTTTAACAATTTTGGGCATAGATACTTGCCGTTTTGATTTATTTTCTATTTTCTTATTTCTTTTTTGAGTTATTTCTATTAGGGACCTATTTATATGTTTTTATTTTGTTGTTTTGAAAAACTTTGGCTATTGTTATTGAGTTTTGAGATGTTGTTCTCTGTTTTATGCTCTTTAGAGCGTCTCTACCTTTTGCAAATGGTGTGTTTGTATTTTGTTCAAGAACATGTGGCAGATCCTCTTCGCAGTCTTAACGTCGCCGATTTGAAGTTCCCTTTGCTTTTTTTAGCCAGGACAGCTACTGAACGATGTCTATCCTCTGCCAAATGGCACCAACCTCGCATATTTTTGGTCTCTTGCTATTCTAGAACTATGTCTCCTCTAAATTCACTTCCAAAATACCTTCTAGGAGCTCTATAACAATATCATATAAAATTTGGGATCTGGTTGTTGATATTTTCACGCATGTATAAGTAATGGAAAACCTTATGAATATAATAAATTAACTGCCAATTTAGGTGAAGAGCATTGGAATGCAACTTTAACCTTGGAAAATCAGAAGGGTTCAATTAACTGTTGTTTGCCTACCGTTAATCTCACCGGTGATTTTTAAAACTTCATTGTTTGCTCTGAAAGGAGCCTGCTTCACTGATGTTTCTATTTCCATTTAACTCAGTTGTGCTATATTTTCTCCGATAAAGAAGCTTATTTGTCAAATTTGAGAACTGAATTACGTATATTCACAAAAGAAACTTGAAATTTATTATTCTAATGCTTTTATCAGTTTGCCAACGTTTATAGTTGCAGAGTGCGTTTTGATATACTTGGATCCGGATTCAACAACTTCTATTGTTAGATGGGCTTCAAAAACTTTCTCAACTGCCATATTTTTTTCATATGAGCAAGTAAATTTCTTTTTAATATGCTATGCTTTATTTTTAAAAATTTTAAACCCAAAAAATTTATTTGTTAATCATGCTATCAGTGCTCGTCTTTTTTTAGATCCATCCTGACGATGCATTTGGAGAGCAAATGATGAAAAATCTTGAGGTGTGTTTATTAGTAAAGCATGCATATCTTTTGCAAGTTAGTTTGATGCAATGTTTTCCTACTGCAAAGTTCATTAACAACTTATGAATGTCATACTGATAAATGGGAGACCTTTTATATTTTAAACCTTTGGTTCAGCTTTATAATAAACACTTAGGATAGGTTTGACATTGATGTCTTGTGTTACGTTGTGTGGGCTGTGTTTTCAAGTAAAGCAAATGACAATTTGGCAAAGTCATGCTAAGGTTACTGTATCAAGTGCTATAAAATGTGGTTGTTTAATGACTATCACTAATGAGTTGATTTAATAACTTAATTTGAAGTTATTATGATTTCATATACTTATATTATTATTTCATGTTAATATTTGCATAAATAAACAAGTAAATAAATAAAAAGTCTAAATAATTAAATGAAATGCTAAAATTCAGACAAAGTCTTTTTTTTTGGAGGCTACCGTCACTACAGTTCTAAGAAAGCTGCTTTTCAGTTATGAAACTGGACATTGTCTCAGTTATTTTTCTAAACATTCTTAAATTACCTCTGCTATTTAAGGAAGCTGAGAATGCATTTACAAAGCTATGCCAAACGAAGCCTCATTTTTGGATTTAGTTTTTGCCTTTTGCATTTGTTATATCAGTTCTCTTTCCTGGTTGACAGAATTTGATCTTTTGATGATTGGCAGCTTTATTCTCTTCTTTCTTTTGGAAGCTCTCAAACAGTTGGCAGTATAGCTAGGATAGCTTGATTTGTACTTCATTGATATTTGAGTGCCTTCATCTTCATAACTCGTAATTTTCTAGAAGTGTATCGGTGGAAAATTCTTCCTTAATGCACCTTTTTTAAAATTAAAAAGCCTTTAATCCATTATACAGGAGGAATGCATCTCTTTCCAACTTTTTTATGGTCTATCTTGTGTATAGGGCTCCATTAATGCTAGATCAGGGATGGAGTCAAAATTAGTATGGTTAATCTATCATAGAGCCTTATCCAAACATTTTACCGTCAATTTGTTTGTTTTGTCATTCGTCCTTTTGCCTCATTTCAACTCAACACATTTTTCTGCAGTTTTGTTCTTACTTGGAAGCGTATCCATCCATATAACTATTTAATTTGGTCTCATGTTGTTTAATTTTTGCATGTCGTGGGAACTCCCTCTCTTTTGGTTTTCAAGTTAGCCAGCATAATCACATTCTCCTGTCAAAAGTTAAAGTTTTTTTCAGCTGACTGAATGTATGTCTGTATTCGCATAAATATCACATTTTATAGTAGAGAAGGAAATTTTTCATGTCAAGCAAAGAAAAAAATAGGGCCCAACCTTCATAATAATGCATGTTTCTGGTGGGAGAGAATCTCTCAAGTGATAGCTTTGTGGCAATTTCAATTATAAAGTCACTCTTCTTACACTTTTTTATATAATCTGTGAGAAATATATTAACTTGCATTTTAATTTAATTTAGGTTTTAAATTTTTTGCATAAGTTTTGTCTTTTGAAGAACAGCTCATGTTTTGTTTGCAGAGCCGAGGATGCCCTTTATTAGGTATATACGCAACACCAACTTTAAATACCAAGGAAAAACTCTTTCTTGATCAAGGATGGCAGGTATGCTCATTTAGTTTGACTATTTTCTATCAAATGAGTTGTTTTCTTGAGAAAAATACTTCAGAAGTGCTGTTTATGGTCTGTTTTGTAATTCTTGCAAATAGACTTGAATTTCGAAAGAGGAATTGATTTCCATGGACATTGTTTCGTATTTGTATGCATTTGAATTTTGATTTCTTTCCTTTGTAACATTTTATTTGCAATTTGATATTCCAGAGGGCTGTTGCTTGGGATATGCTGAGGATCTATAATGAGTTCATTGAAGCTGAAGAAAAGCGCAGGTAACTGTTATTGGTAAACTAAGCTGTCACTAAGAGAATACTTGCTGAAAATCGAATCCTTGATTATGTGGTGACTTCACTAAATTCTCATTTATTTAGTTGTTTGTTTGAAATTTATTCAATGTTTAAAATTGTACAATTGAGTATTTAGCTGTTAATTCAAGTTTAAAACAACTAAGTATAGAAGAAGTCTGAGGTGTAAGTCTCACAATTTGAAAATATTATATTAGCATAATTACTTATATATTTTAAATATAGTAGGAACTTAGAAAATACAACTCCACACAAAAAGCAAATCTATGGATCCAAATTCCTGAGATTACAGCACGCACAATATAATCTCCAAAATGTACATGCAAACCAGCAGAACCCAAAAATGTTAGAAGTGAGCACATGTTTACGTCTAATGTATGGAATCTGTAATAAATCACCACGAAGAAGCTGACTAAGAGCAGGAGGGGAGATACCATGGCATCATTGGCCTGAGAACCACAATTAGCCAACCAGTTAGCTGGAGAATTGCCCTCTCTTGGAATAAGGCTCCATAACTTCTGCAGGTCACTAGTCAGGGCAAGGATACGCCTCAAGTGAACAATTAAATTCCAAATAGTCAATCATATCCAGGCATTCAGCTTCCAGATGTATACATTTCAAGTTCATCATAAAAGCATTCTTATCAGCAATCCAAACCACCCATTACTCGGCTTCAAGAGGGGAATTAGCACAAACAGGAAAGTAAAAGAAACAAACACATTTACCATTAGCATTTCTAAATACATCTCCAACACCAGCACCCTTAGAAGTTCAGCTCCCATCAGTATTTACTTTCATCCATGACCGGCAAGGTGTTCTCCACAAAACCTGTTGAATGCTAATAGTTTTCTTTGTCCTGTTGTCAGCCTTCACTTGATCATGAAAAAATAACTTAAACTAGCAAAATAGGAATTGCTAAACCTGCCATATGAGAAAACCTTGTGTAGTCAAGCTAACATATTAGCAGCCACACTATGTTCCTTAGCAACCACCTCGTTATGTTTAGCATTGTTCCTAGCCATCCAGAGAAACCAGATGACAATATGAGGAAAATCATTTAAAATGTGTTTAGAATGATTGTTCCAGAAAGAAAGGCAGTTAGCCAAGTTTCACCACTAGGTATATTGATATTAAAAGTGTCACCCGGAATTCTCCAAACAGCTAAGGCAAAAGGACACGCAAAAAACATGTGACAAACATTCGCCTCCCCCTTCATACGAAGAATGCATTTAGAAGGAAGCTTTAGACCTTTAAGCTTGAGGATATCATCAAAAGGCAACACTTGAAAATACATCATCCAAAGGAAAAAGGACATAGAAGGAGAGAAAGTTTTGCACCAGATACTCTTACCCCAGTCAGCCAGTTTCCAAGAGTAGAGATTAAGATAAATAGCGTTAGATATAGAGAAAGTAGAAGAAAATTTGGTAACCATAGTGTCTTTCTTGGAAATATCTATAGAGATCTTGGAAATGGAATTAGCAAGACCACAACCCACCTTCTCCCTAAGGATAGTAGTGTTCCATTCATTTTTATTCCAGAACTAAACCAGTTTGCAATCACCGTTTACCTCATTGATAAAGGAAGCCAAATTCTCCATGCACCACTAGTCTTTCAAAAAAGAAATATCTCCATTTCCAAGATCCCAATAGACCAATATCTAACTCAGTATGGCCTTCCAAAATTTGGAATCATCCATTCTAAAAAATGTTTGAGTAGGATGTTTATCTCTACAAAATACTTATCATACATAAAATTAGCCCACTCAGAGCTGTTGGCCCTAAACTTAAGCCAAAGCTTAATTGAATTAATTTCAACAATATAATGAAGCTCTTTAAAACCCATGCCACCAGTGAACGAAGGTTTACAAATTTTTTTCTAACTTGCCCAATGCTTTTTAATTCTTTTCCCAAGACCAAAGAAACTTGTTTAAACATAAGTCAAGCGTGTTGTGTGCTAGTTTTCATTTTTAGAACTTGAAGTGCATAAAGAGGGATTGAGTTTAAAACACTTTTGAGAAGAGTGACATGACCCCCAAATGATAGATAGGAATTTTTTAATCAATGATACTGTTTTTGATATTATCAACAACACCATCAAGTTGTATTTGTTTGACTCTACCTTTAATTAAGTTGACCCTAAGATATTTGATCGGTAGCTCAGATGTAGCAAACCCAATAAACTCCTTAATCCAAAGTCCTAAGGATCTCTTGACATTTTTTGCTCAAAAAAAGTTGACATTTACTGATCATAAAGGACACACCATAGATGTTTTGAAATTGCATCAACAAATTATAGACCTTTCTCGCAGAGGATTTCCCAACATTAGAAAAAATGATTGCATCGTTAGCATAGGCCAAATGGCTAATGATCATTTTGGATTTATGATGAAATTGTGTGATAAGACGATTGCTCTGTAACTTATTAACCATACGAGAAAAGTAATCAAAAGCAATAATGAAAATAATGGGTGGAAGGAGGTCACCTTTCTTAATTTTTCTAGTGGAAGAAAAGAAACCATAAGTACTCCCATTGATAAGCACATTATACTGGTTGCGCCTTAATCATCTAATAATAAGAGAGCAGAAATCAACTTTAAGACCCCTACTCTGAAGAACTTTGAACATAAAGTCCCAACTTATAGTATCATAAGCTTTCTTGAGATCAAGTTTCATAATCAGATTGCCACCCTTGCATTTTTTATCTAGATCATGAATAAGCTTTTAAGCCAATAGAATATTATCACTTATATCTTTGCCCTTGGTGAAGGTTGATTGGTTTAAGGAAATGAGAGAAGAGAGAAGAGAGAAGAGAGAAGTGGTCGGAGTCTAGCTACAATTGTTTTACTTGTAAATTTAGAAATCACATAAGTAAGACAAATTGGTCTGAAATGATCGCAAGTATATCTGATTTTTTTCCCTGGGAATAAGAATGATGGTAGAGGTTGAGAAGTAGTTGCGTGGATCTTCCCTTCTAAAGCAACTTTGGATGGCAACAACAACCTCCTTTTTAATACATTCCAACATTTCTTGTAAAAGTTAGTAGTAAATCCATCAGCTAACAGCTCTATTAGCATCAATAGTACAAAGTGCACCCCATATTTCTTTTTCACATGGAACCTTAGCTAGGTCAAGATTGCCAATAAGATGGCTTTGGTCTTCCAAAAGAGCATGATTGATAGGAGAATTAATCTCAATCCCGCTAAAGAGGTTCTCAAAGTAGTTAACAACACTTTTACCAATCTCAACTTGATCAGTAATCCAATTACCACATCCCTTCTGTATTTTTAAGTTAACATTCATCCTCCTTTTTTCTTAATGCAAGCATGAAAGCAGTGAGAGTTTCTATCCCCTCCTTAAAATGCACTTTCGGTTTCTTGGCCTTATAAATCCTCTTCCTATTTGATAGCAGTCAACAAAGTCTTATGAGAAGTGACAAGTTCATCATTATCCTTCTCGTTCACAACATCGATTTGCTCTAGTCTGCACACCTTAGCTTTAGCAGTAAACACCTTGTTATGCATATCATCAAAAACATTTCAATTCCAAGCCTTAGGTGCTTTGACAACATTCTTGTGGAGTTTTCATAATTTAAACCAAGAGTTCCCCATAAAAGTGGTCTTTCAGTTCTCCTTAACACAATTTATAAAATCATTTTGCTCAGACCACGTGTGAAAATATCTAAATTAATGCACTGAAGGTTTATCTATGAAGGAAATGATTAAAAGTAAAGGTCTGTAATCAGTGCATTGTCTAGGAAGATGTTGAACCTTAGAAATATGAAAATTACTTGCCCACTTCTGATTAGCCAAGATTCTATCCAGTCTCTCAAAGACCCTACCTCTTTTCCCCAAGTGGAACAGACCAGCCTCTATTAATGCATTATTAAAATCAGCCATAATTCTAGGATCCACAAGTCTGCCATCAATTTTCTCAGAGTTGCAAGATATCATATTGAAATCTCGACCCATAACCTAATTTCCATTCATCCCAATGCTCAGATTCTTTAGATTCTCTCAGTGATCCAATCCAAGAGAATAAGTAGAACTAACATACATAAAAGTAGCCCACTTATGGAAGATGTCTTTCTCAACATGGACATAAGGAATTGTGATTCATTTCTAATCACATTAACAGTAACATCTTTCTTTATAGAACAACCAAATCTTGTTAGATACTATCGTAAGAGTGGAACTTTCCAAGTTTTCTTAGGATATATTTATTATTTCTACTAACCAAAGGTTCCAAAATAGCAAAGTACCAGAGTTTTGGAATCCGTTTGAGTTTAAACAATCTATTAAGGGAAGCCAAATCTACAATTCTCAACCAAATGACCAAACATAAGTTAATGTTCGCAAAAATGGGCGTGCTATTCCACGACAACTTTCTGCCAATAGCCGTTATGAGCAGTACTAATCCAAAGCTCCTCCGCAACAGCCTGAGTAATATCCTTTTCAACTAAAACACGGGCAACAGATGGCCTTATTAAAATTTTAGTGCAGATATCCATCTTCATTGACCTCCCAAAGATAGCTCCTAAAGAAGAAAAAAATCTCATGATTGAAAAGTTGAAGTTTAAGTCCAGGGAACTGAAACCAAATAGGGACTATAGGAGGCTCTATCTGCATTCTACTTCAAAAGTTTCTTACTTTTGTTCTCAAATTTTAAGTATTTTTTAGTAAAAATCCACGCATAGTCCTCCCTACTCAATTGGATAAGAATATGTCAGCCATCCAATAATCTAATCTTCCACTCGCCAAGAAGTTTTTTTCGCACTAATTCCATCTTAGGATGACCATAAAGAAACTTACCAACTAATGCAAATTTGCAATTGGAGGAAAGATTTAAAGTGTCTTGATCAGAAAGAAATAGAATAGGCCTTCCACTTTTTCTACCAGCCTTCCTCACAAAAAGTTGCTCACCCACACCACCTAATGTGTTGTTAAGATTGAGGAAAAACATAGTTTTTTTGAATCAATAACCGTGAGAGCGCCAACACATCCGCAAAAGTGAGTTTTTCCATTAACCCACCATCGGAGAAGCAGCTGCCTCCAGATTAAGCAAATCGCCTCCATGTCGCCCTAATCCTAGCAGAGCAACATGCCTCCATAATTTGTGTGTGTGTGTGTATAAGAAACACATATTAACATTTTAGCATGGTAAAAAGTGATAAATTGTTTTATATGAAATAATAATTTTGTAAGTCTCAAAATATTATTTAACAACTTGCACAAAGTAAAAATATAATATGAAAATCAACCGATCAAGCCATTAAACAAACATATAATATGAAATGAAAGCAATATAAAATATCAAAGATAATTTAACATAGTGTGTGTGTGTGTGTGTATAAGAAACACATATTAACAGTTTAGCATGGTAAAAAGTGATAAATTGTAAAAAATGATAAATTGTTTTATATGAAGTAAATATTTTTGTAAGTTTCAAAATATTATTTAACAACTTGCACAAAGTAAAAATATAATATCAAAATCAACCGATCAAGCCATTAAACAAACATATAATATGAAATGAAAGCAACATACAATATCAAAGATATATAAAATATCAAAGATAATTTAACATAGTGTGTGTGTGTGTGTGTATAAGAAACACATATTAACAGTTTAGCATGGTAAAAAGTGATAAATTGTAAAAAATGATAAATTGTTTTATATGAAGTAAATATTTTTGTAAGTTTCAAAATATTATTTAACAACTTGCACAAAGTAAAAATATAATATCAAAATCAACCGATCAAGCCATTAAACAAACATATAATATGAAATGAAAGCAACATACAATATCAAAGATAATTTAACATAGTAGACTTTTCTCAATCCTGTTGTCCAACCAATATAATAACATCCATACTTCTACATAAGAACAAAAAAAAAAAAACAAAAGCTAGAGCAGCAAGCGACGACGTTGATAATAGGATCAACTGGCGGCAACGATATCAACAGGAGCGGCAGAAGGCTATAACTGAAGATGTAAGCGGCTATTTTAGAGGAAGTAACAAGCCTCAATGACAGTGGAAGCAACAAGCAATTGTGGCGATGCTAGCGGCAAAGGCAGCAGGCAGCAATGCAGACAAAGCCTAATTGAGGAGAATGGAGTTCTTGTGCATGAGAGGTGTTCGGTTCGTATTTGAACTATCTAATATGGGGTGGGGGAAAACTAAATGCAAGAGGTGGATGTCTCAATGAAATTTAGGTGAGGCATGCCTCATCCAATGTGATGTGTACACATTTATGGAGCCAATTGAGGCATATACCTCAAAGCATTTTTCTTTGAAATTGCGTTGAGGCGGCCCTCAAGGTGTGCCTCAGATTGCCCAATTTTAAACAGTGAATTAATTTAATATTACATGATAAAAATATGAATTACTGTTCCCTTTTACTCTATTTCGTTCTTTATTAATTTTTGGATTGTGCCGCATATGGTATGATCAATCCTATTGGGCTTAAGTTTTTGCAAGAACCATGTGATGCTACTAATTATAGAATTTATATTTTTACTTGCAAATCTGTTTGGTACTTAAGATATGAAAGGATGTAATTACATGGTGGACTCTGTATTAGCTTAAGTTTAGGACAAGAAAATGAAGTTTTGGTTCAGTCTCTGCCCCATTTCGCAAGATAAACATGCAATTCTACTTAGCCATACACTTTTATAGATACTCCATTTTTTTCTTTTCAAACTTCCTAGGCCCTTTTCCTTTTATGAAACCTTTTCTATCCCGGCCGTCTCCTTCAATCTTTATGTTGCAGCCATCTTTCTTCTCTGCTTTACCTATTCTTAGTACCATCACTGACACTGAATTTTCCCTTTTGAAACCCTCACTCTCATTGCCAATAATTTCAACATGCCTTCTCAACCTGCTTTATGCTGTTTTTAAGTGTATCCTTTCCATACCTTAGTTGGTACTGCTGCATTTATTGTTTTTTCCATCATTCGATACTCTGTTTTCACTTCTCTCTCACCCTTGCTCTTGACCAATCTCATCCACTGTTTTATAAGCCAACTCCAAACTCAATGTGCTTGTGGATATGGTTTATATTGATCTGTGCTCTTATTTTGGATTTGTGATAATAGTTTAACTTTGGGTCTGTTTTGGGCTCGTATAGCTGTTTGTAGTAGTAGTAGTTATAGAAATATTGTAAGAAAATTAGGTTTTCTTAGTTGTTGTAGGCATTATAAATTCTTTACATTTTGAAAAAGTTAAATATCAGTTTTCTTACAACTAGTACGTTCTTATAGATACTATTGTAAAAATTGCTTCTCACTAAAAAAAATTCTGAAAAACATCAAAAAAATTTTAGCCTAACAAAATTGTGGCAGCTTCTTAGAAAGCATAGCTACAAAAATGCCACCCTCAACAAAAACTTAGATCACTAACAATGAGTTCTTTTGCTACTGCATGAATCTCATCGGTTTATCATTTAATTATTTTTACATATTTATTGAAGTCATCTGATTTGTTTATCATGGGATCACCCTCACTATCATGGTTGTTATAGACTTGTTGCTTAAAATCAATTTTGCAAAAGCTACTATTGGTTTTATAATGTTTTTTTCTTTTTTAAAAAAATGGTTAATAACTTTCTTATGTCTACAATATTCTAGCAGATTTGGTTATAAAAATATGCTACCTACAACAAGAATTTTTAAAATAACAAAAAAGCTGAAATCAAATTGAAACTTGGCTACTATTTGAAAAGTAAAACTAAGAAAAATCTGCCCCAAATAGACCCTTATCGTGGTGATTTTTTTCTTATTGTTATGCATTACGCCGGTGTCTAGACTAAGGGAAATTTTGTATTTTATTAGCGTAAGGGTAATCTAGTCTTTTATTATTATTCTTGCTTAGTATAAATTGGGCTAATATATTTCGGGTAAGGGTATGCATGGGACTGTTGTTTTGAAACTTAGGTTTAGGGTTTTGGAGAGATTTTGTACCTCTCAGGTTGTAGGAATTGGGAGAGACCACCTATCTCTTGAATTGTAGGTGCTTATCTTTGTATTCGTGTAGAATGTTTGATGTTCTTTTAATAAAATGTGTGTCCTAATTTCTGTAAGAAAATTTGTCTTGAATCCTATCAAGTGTTATCAGAGCATTAGATTCTTGGCAACATAGAAGATCTAGCATGCCCTAGTTTCAATCTGAGAGCCAAATTTTTCACAGAGGAGCAATCGTGGGAAGGACCGCGACGTACAGAACGACTCGATCTTATTCTTCTTTGTAATACAGTCGCAATTTGGGACTAGAGGGGATGCAAGCGTCAAGATTGCGGCCTGCAGGGCCAATGATGTGATCACAATGTACAGGTTCATGGTTGTACAGAGCGACATGCATGGGCTTTGTGACCGAAGCTTGCAATTTAGTTGTGATTCATAGGAAAGACCAACGGTATTGTTGTGTGTCGGTGCTCCTTTGTCATCGAACGTTGATGCTACAGTTTCGAGGGAAGTGATGACTTGATTGACATGACTCAGAATCACTAAATTGCGGTGCAGTCGCGATAAGTGCTAGCTGGTAAGTGAAGACGGGGTTTCAGGGTACAAAAATTTTGCATTTGTGGTTAAAAGTTTTCCTAGGAGTAATAACGACTAAGAAAGTGGATGTTTTAGAGGAGAAATTGGGAAAGTGGAGCCACATCAGATTTGGAATAGAAGAACGTTTCTCAGCTATGAAGGAGCAGTTGAAGTGAAGATTCATAGCTCTGGAATAAATGATGACAAGCATCATTGTGTTTCACACAAAATGGCCTCTGCCAGCTGTGAGAATTCACACGACATCAAATTAGTGTCATTGTTTTAGGCAGATCGGGAGCCACGATATCGAGCCAAGGAATCATGAGTGAGCTTGAGCGGCAATACTTGGAAGAAATAGTGCAACATTTAGACAGTTGAACGAACGGAAGCAAGCATGATCGAAGTTGATAATGATGGACGAGATACATGGGACAAAGTTGACAGAGAATCTAGTGATTGATACATTATGGGATGAGTTGTTTGAGGTTGTGATATTCTCTAAGATTGACTGGAAGTCAGGACACCATTTGATTCAGTTGTGGCCGAAGGATGTGCACAAGATGAAATTTCGAATTTCTAAGTGTCGCTATGAATTTTTGATCAAAGGAAAAGGATTGCCAGATGATGACAAACATTGGGAACCATACAACTTGATCCAACAGTAGTTTTTCCCATCTGAAAGACAAGTTGTCTTTTTGGAAGGGGAGTTTTGTTACACCGGTGCCTAGTCTAAGTACAATTTTGTTTTTTATTAGCCTGAGGGCAATTTAGTTTTTTATTACTATTATTGCTTAGTACAAATTGGACTGATATGTTTAGGGTTAAGGTATGCATGAGATTGTTATTGTGAGTCTTAGGTTTAGGGTTTGGGAGAGATTTTTTACTTCTCAGATTTGTAGGAATTGAGAGAGATTGCCTAGCTCTTGAATTGTAGGTGCTTATCTTTTTATTCATGTTGAATGCTTGATGTCTTGCAATAAACTATGTGTTTGCCCTAATTTTTGTGAGAAAAATTGTCTCGAATTCTATCATTATGCTTTTCAACTTAATTTCCTGTTTTCGCTTCAACTTCTTGATCTTCTGTTTTATTGACTTGCTGTTGATTGCTTCCCCTTTTTTAATCGATTCCTCTATAATTTTATGTTTGCAAAATGTTGTCCTAGCTATATTTCTTTAAAATTCGTTGGTGTAGACAATATCAGGCACTGCCAGATAATGCAGGGCTCCTTTTTCTTAGAACTGTTTATAATGCTTCTGTTTTTTTTGCAGAATTGAGCGGCTTGAGTTGTTTGATGAGTTTGAAGAATGGTATATGATGCAGGTAAGCCTTGACTTGCATGTTGTAAACTGAGGGGAAGACTTTGACTCCATTAATCCGTTTATTTGCTACATTTTATGATGCAACTACATAGTCATTCATATTGAAAGGACTATAGGATGTCAGAGGCTTCAGTTTTTTTTTTTCTTTCTGGCCTGCCATAAATCTATTAACTTTAATTGGACGCAGTCACAGAAAATACAGATGATAGTATTTCTACTCGGCTAATAATAGTAGCTCTAACCTATTTAAATCGTTTTAGGCCGCTTCTGATATTTTTTTCTCTATACAGGAGCACTACTGTGTGGCCTACGCAGTCAATGATGCCTATGTGAGTAATCCTTCTTTTATAACTGTATTCCAGCAATTGATAATCATTGATTATGCTTCATACATGACTTTTTTTATTCACACCGTTATACTTTATGTGATATGCTTTCCGACAATTCTGCATTCATTTGTGATTGTATAATGTGTTCGGTGCAGTATAGTTGTCTCCATCTATGAATATAAGATCAGTGGAGTTGCTTGTTGGAGGGTTTCATTTTTGTAATGTTAATTGTTAGCCTCATGTCGCAGTTCCTTTGCCAACGAACCAATATATATCCATACAAATGTGGGAATTGGCACATACGACACAAATGTGGGATATGCCTATTTTTTAAAATGTATGACACGGATATATATTTCACATGGTATTATAATTTATATTCTTTTAAATTTTAAATTAATATATAAGAATTTCATAATTAAATTAACATGATATAATTCAAAAAACTAACATTATAGGGATGAAAAAGTATTAATATTTAATTATTATTAGATAAATTTCGTCTATTAATCCTTTGATTTATGGATGAAATTTCATCAGAATCATTCTAAGAAATGTTTGAAGATGGATAAGATATTCGTGGAAGAGTAATTGATCTTCTCAGATTGAACCTTATTATAACATCTCCGTCTGTATTTTGACTAACTTGTTCTACATCCTGATTTATTACAAGATGAGGATTTATAGCAGTTTATAACCGCCATGATTTAATGGAAGCTAACGTCATCCCATTTAATAATTCTATTAGTAGCTATATTTAAAGCTAATAGATTTGTTTCTACTATGGTAGATCTAACTGTAAGTTTTATATTATATTTAATATTTGAATATAAAGTATTCATATTTTAAAATATATTCTGTAGATTATAGCTATTGTTTCAAATCCAGGTAAGAAATTATACCAGTGTAATTTGATATGTAATCTAACTACTTGAAAGAGATTAATGTTTGTAAGTGACAGACCTAGATTTGGTAAAGTATTGAAGAAAACTGGTCCATGATAGAGACTAGTTTCCATTACTCCCATTAATGATTGTGCCCAGTCCAGGCATCTTGCATCCCATTAACGGTTTTTATTGAAGATTTTCCTTTGAAATCAAAGGTCCCATATTGTAGATTATAGACTTTTCCATTTTATGAATAGTTCATTTATTTAATTTTATCTTCATTTGCAGGGTATTGTTGCAATTCTGCATTTTAATGTTATTGTTTCTGGATTGAGAATTTCTCAGTTTTCGGGATAATAAGTTATTATTGTGTTTTATTATATAATTAAGTTATTACTTTGATTTAATATATTGATTAAATAATTATGGAAGTATAATTTATCTCATTATCAAATTTGATGTTAATTTATTTAAAGGCAAAATAACTCTTAACTAAAATTTTACTTGTATTAATTCTTTGAATTTACTGACTCTCCTACAATTCTCCCTTATGCGCAACGAGCTTAAATTCTTGTTAGTCTTACTGGCCTCAATTAACATAATTATATATTAACATGTTAAATGTATACCCCTTTAATATATAAAAAAAATTCAGCAAACAAGCCTAGCACATTCCTTTACCTCTGTTTTGCGTGGTTCAACAATTCCTGCACACTAAAAATTGCACTGGAGGATTCCGTCTTCCACACATGAGGCTCCTTCTTGACTGACTGCACAAAACCCTTCCTTTCAGTTTTCCTTCACACTAGAACACATGCAGTCACTCCTCTTTGATTTCGCTCAGGTCACCTCCTTCAAGTGAGAAACACACGATGTCGCTCAGCTCAGCTCGTCCTTTGATGTCTCATTGAACTTGTTCCTCTTTTTCTTCTCGCACACGAAGTCCTCACAAAGCCGCCTCCTTGCCTTCTTGCCACATTGAGTTTCGCCTTATTCGACTGCCTGTACCTTGGAATTGTTGATCTTCATTTAATAGAAAACCTCACTCATTCAGCCTTCTTCCTCTTTTCCAACCTGCAACTCGTCGACGCAGATATTCAAACCAGAGCTTGATCTTCTGCTTGATTTGATTTATCATGCGAGACAGATCTCTCTATTGTGAGTATATGAGGTTCGTCTTCTTCCCATTATTGGTACTGCACGCACCGGGACAGTCTTGCTCTCTTTCAATCTCCTTCTCATTCTCTTGTTCGACTGCTTGACACGAAACTGTCATGATGGTTATCCCTTTCTGAACCAAGACGACCCTTTAAAATTTATTTTATTTTATTTATTTATTTATTTATTATTTTTATCTGTTTTTTTTCCACTTATTACAAATATTTTACTTATGTTTGGGGAAATTTGGTTACATGTCGAAGTAAGAATATAATTTGGTGGCAAGGATTAGTGCTGAGATAGAATATTAGGCTATGACTAATGGAGCATGTGAGATGTTATGTATTGTTGAAGAGAATTTTTGAAGAGATGATCCCAATGAACATGCCAATGAAGTTGTATTGTGATAATAAATTTGTCATAAGCTTTGCAGAAAATCTAGTGCATCATGATTGCACAAAACATGCTGAGATTGATAGAATTTTTATAAAAGAGAAAATTGATTATGAAGCTTTTTGCATGCCCTTCACTTCGATAGTGCAATAAGTAGTACATATCTTCACCGGCTTGGTTTTGAGTTCCTTATAAGCAAAGTTGGGCATGATAGATATCTATGCTTCAACTTCAGGGGTGTCTCGGAATTTTAGGAATTTCTGTTTTTGGCATCTTTTTTATTATTATTATTTATTTTTAATAGTTTCTACTTCTAAAATTTTCTATTGTTGGTAATTTCTATTTCTTTTTTCTAGCATAGAGATTTTGAGGTTTTCTTAATGTGGTGACTTTCTCCTGCTTTTATCTTTTAACAGAGTTTTATGAAATTGAAGTATAATAGTTTTTTTTCCTTCTCCCAAACTTATAATTTCCTCATTTTCTTCAAAATGTTACTCCTTCTGAGCTGGTATATACAGAATTGTGTATCAAATTAACATTTATTTATTCATTATTTAATAAGAATAAATAAATATATTGTATTTATTTATTTAGTTAATATTATTTATTTCCATCAATTTATAATTTTAACGTTAGCTAATAAAATCTTCAGTAGTAACATTAAGGGTTTGTTTGAGGGTGGCTGCAATTTTTTAAAAATGTGGTTGTAAAGTTGTGGTGAAGAAAATAATTTATTAGAAAGTTATGGTGAGAATTATAAATATATACTTTTTCCAAAAATCAAAAATTTTTTTTCCAGCCACCGCAGTTCAACAGGTCGAGTTGAAAAAAATAGTCATCACAAAAATTTTTAAAATGCAGTTCCTCAGACAGAGTTGTGTTGGCAGTCTGAAATACAAAACAGGCATAAAACTATACCAAAAAGACCTAAGTTTGTCTTTCATTTATGGATTATTTACTCTTAAGATTCATGTTTGCATTATATTCAAATTTATTGATATACCTCATTATTCTTATATTTATCAATGCATATTTTCTTCCAATTAAAATTTTCAAGTTAATTAAACAAGAATTCTCTTTTTATTATATTTGTTATTATTCTCATATTATAATAGAATGTAAAATTAATTATTCTAATTTTAATTTACTAATTTATTTTTAAGGCTTTCTTACATCAAATCATCGATTTGATGGAATCTTAATATTCATGGAAAAAATATTTGTATAAACTTTTTGACCAAAGCTTCCAATTCGACATGCATGCATCGATGTCCTTTTTATTCTTCTAATCCCATAATATTAATTATAATCATTGTTTTAATTCGTCTTATAATAGCCCTAATCTTTTCAAAAAACATGAAGACTAAACTTCATGTTATTGCAAATCATCTCATAAATTCTACTTTAACTTATTCTTGATAAGTAATTCAATTTTTTAAATTCAGCTATCTATACATCGACCAAGATGACTCACCTGTCATATCTCCATCAAAATGAAATCCGTCAAGATGACAAGGAAGAGCTAATCATAATGCTACTTACAAAATACCATTAAAATGTTTAAAAATTTTGTAGTATTTTGATTCCAATTTAACACCACTATTTATTATTATATTTTCTTCAAGAAAAATTTAGAAATACTATTTAATTAAATTAAAAAGGTATTCTCGTAATTTTTTAAAAAAATCATTGTCAATTTTTTGAAGCAACTATTGAAGGTTGCTAGACTGTCTTCGTTGTTGCACGCCAAAGATTGTGGTTGTTGCTGGTCTCCATTCTTTGGTGCTCACAAAGGACTTGAGCGTCGAGGGCAATCCTTTTGGGCCCAAGTCTAGAGAAAGAAGCTCGTATGTTACTACTCGAGGGTGAAGGCTCGAATTTCTATTAGTCGTGGGCTGAGTTCTCACTCATCACTTTTTATATTAATGAATAGAATGAAGACATTCAACGTTATAATAAAGAATAGAATGAAGGCATTCAACTGGAGAAAACTGAGTTGATTAGAAGCTACTAAGTTGTAACATCACTACAGTGCACTTTCGTGAGTGACGGCATGAAGTGCTCACTTTGTTAACTCATGCTACGTGAGTACAACATGAAGCGGAAGAGGCTCGCATCATAGCACTTCATCTTTGAAGCGCACTTCAAAATGTGCTTTTAACAAGCCTAATATTGGCACCAATATTATTCTATAACATATTATATATCGTTCAACTTACCACACTCATATGTAGTCTTTCTTGGGCTACGTTTGATGGATTATTATTATTATTATTATTATTATTATGTACTTTTACATTCATTTTATGTTTTTGGTGTTCAATATACGTAGCATATAATTATTTAGGTACTTGACACATTCTTCTTCAAAGCCTTTGAATGTATCTACATATTTAGCACCTATGCTTTTTTTACTAGTAAAATAGCACCTTAATTTCTTTAATATTTGTAAAGTAGTAAACCAAACCACCATGTCTTTAGCCGTAATTTGGTTTCCAACCCCTGTCAAGCACCACAGGCCTATGATTTGAAAGTCTTACTTGTATAATAAGCTATTCCATGATCAAGTTGCATTCTAGCTTAGTTCCTTTCTTTGTAGGACTTTAACCCAGTTTTATCTCGTAACCTCAACTTTTCCCTAATTTTTGCTGCAGAAATGCGTTAACCCTGACACTTAACAATGCCACCAGGAAGTTGGCTATATGACATTTAAGAACGATTGAAAATAATGTTTGTGGTTGATCCAGGGCTATTTTGTTGATTTGCTTGTAATAATTGTAATCAAGTAGGTAACATTGCACTTTTGAGTTTTTCAAGTATATCTCGAACTAATTTAAGGTGCTAATGTTGAATCCTTCCATTTTTCTACACTTTATTGATTTTAACATTCGATACTGCAGGCTTATGATCCTTTTTTCTGCAAACAGTATTATTACCCATAAATCGTTTTTGCAACTTACATATCATAAGACAGTATTCTTACACTTATCTTCAGCCTCCACGATTGGTGATTAAAGTCTTAAAATTAAATTTCTGAAACTTACTTTAATCAAGAAGGTTTTGTAGTTGAGCGTCCCAGTGACCGGCACCAATTCAAACAACAACAACAACAACAAAGCCTTTATCCCACTAAGTGCGGTCGGCTACATCAATCCTTTTTCTCCATTGTGTCCTATTTCCTATTTCGTGTCATATTTTCATTTAGTTCTAGTAAATTAAGATCATTTTTTATACAATAAACCCAAGTGTCCTAGGTCTACCTTTGCCTTTCTTAACACAAGTCGAATCTAAAACATCTGCTCTCCTAATCGGATCATCAGATGGTCGACGTTTAAAGTGACCAAACCATCTAAGACGACTTTCTCTAATTTCGTCCGTCACAGGAGCTACACCAACCCTACCATCTATAAGACTGGCACCAATTCAAACAACTTCAAAAATTAATTTTTTCCTTGCATTTTATTTGAAGCATGAAAATCTATGGCTCTGCGTCCCTCATATCAAATGACAAATTTAAATAATATGAGAATATTGGCAAAATAGTCCTCTTAACTCTTTGTAGGGGGGTCACTTTAATCCCAAAATCTATAAAAGTGTCAATTTAGTCCCCAGGTAACTTTAATGAGTGCTGACTATTGCAGCACCAATTTAAAAAGTGTGGATTAATTTGACACTTTTATAGACTGAGACATTAAAATGGCCCCATGAAAGTATTCAAGGGATTATTTTGACGCTTAAAAAAATAAATAAATTCATAAAGTTTGGCACTCAGCTATCTCTTCATTGCCAGTTAACAGCAAGTTTCTTTTAATGCAGAGCATCTTCAGCGATTTTGGATTCTCTAAGATTAGTCCATCTCGAGAACCATAAGAGAGGTAAACTTTGGAGTTGCTTTAGTTCCTCAAAATCTCTGCTTCTACTTATTTTAATGTTCATGAAACCAAAATTTTGTTACTTATGTTGTGCTGTTTTAACTCTTATAATGATTGCGTTTGTTAGCTGTGGCTTGCTTAAAGGAAGGCACAATATGTATTGTTTTATTTCTCTATTTTAATGTGAGAATTGGTTTCCAATGTGTATTGTATGCTTTCTATCTAGAAAGACATGGGGATTGATTGCTACCATCACCTGTAAGGAATTTATTATGGGTGTTCCTACAGGGAATGGGTCATCACGTGGCAAGTGGGACCTTTTTTTTTTTTCTTAGCATTTATAGGGTTAAGATTTTATCATAAAGTGTCTCGTTGAAACAACTTTTTTAATATTACGAACAAGTTAATGTAAATTTATGATTTTCAACATCATTAGCTTGAGCTTCTTTAATTTATCCAGTTTTTGCTTGAAGTTTTAGCTTACTTCTATGAGTTTGAATTGATTCACGAGCTGATTTATTCATTTGGAAAATCTGATTTTGATTTAGATATTTATTTTAATAAAAAGATAAGAAAATAAGAAACTATATAAGAAATAAAAGAAATCACTTAAATCAGTGAAATCTAATTTCAGAATAATTAAAACGTAAACACTTGAATTTTAGCTTATTTAGAGTGTTTTTATATTAAATAGATAACTTGAGCAGATTTCTCGAATCATAAACTTTTAACATTTATTGATCCCTTCAAAAAATTTTGTAGTAGTTTTTTTAAATGCTGTTTCTTAGTTCGGTCATGCTAACATTCTTCGTGTTTGAAAGGGATCAACTAACGCCTGTTTGGTTTCATTTGAAGGTAAATTTCATGTACTTCAGAGTGAATATGGTTTGTGAGAGTTAATTTTAATTGAAAGTGTATACTTTCATATTTATTTTCACTAGCAAATGGCAAATGATGATTATTATTCTAAATTTATTGGCTTCTAATATTTTTCAGTTTTCAAATTCAATATTATATGATTTTGACTGTAGCAAGATATAAAAATTACTAAGATATAATATATGATTTCCCCCTTTTCTGAGATATTGTATTGACAAGCCAATAGATTTAGAAGTTTTTTATATTGTGCATATCGTTAATTTTAACAATCCTCAGAGTTGTTATTTAACTTTTATGATAAAAGTCACGGTAAAGCTGTCATTGTCGGGTTTCATGCTCTGGATGCAAAGTGGATAATTGTATTAGGTAGTTGACAGTCAAAGTAAATATTTTGTTGAAAAATTATGATATGAATATTTTAAATTATTGTGTCAACACTAGTGCGTCCCTTGAATGCGATAAATTTTATGACTTGAATACAGTGAAACGTGTGCAATGGCTACTACATCGATGTCTAGGTGCAGTGTTAAATAAGCAATGACTCTCATGGATGCGGACAATTAATTTGGTTCATGAAACTAATATTAGTATAAGAACTTGGAATATAGATGCGCTTACAAGTTAGTTAATGGAATTAATAGATTATGATTCATAGGAACATAAATATCTTATGCATTCAAGAAAGTAAATGGGTTGGACAACATGCTAAAAATATTTAAAGCTTAGGTTTTAAAGTTTGATATTCAGACAAGAGTCGTATTAGAAATGATACATGTATAATTATAGAAAAAAATTTAAAACATAAGTTGTAAAAATTAATAAAATTAGAGATAAAATTATTACTCCAAAGATTGTTAAGTTAAAATTAATAGAACTAGAGATAAAATTTTAACTCTAAATATTATTATTGATATTAAGATTTTTAATGTTATAAAACTTATGTTCTTTAAGTTGCTTCATATAAATGTTCAAAATAATTTTTTGGATTACTGAAGAAAATATTTTTGATTATTTTTGTTGGAGAAGATTTAGATGGGCATGCTAGTAGAGTGGTAGAAGATTTTAGAAGTATTTTAGTGACTATGATTTTGGAGTGACTGATGAAGAATGCAGAGATATATTTCATTTTTAACTTATGATTTTATTATTACCAATACTTTATTTAAGAAAAAAAGAGTATACTATCACTTATAAGAATGCATCAAATAAAACACAAATTAGTTATATTCGTTTTGAAAAATATAACGTCAAGATTTTTGAATTTATAAACTCATTTCAAATGAAAATTTAATACCTTACATCAATTATTATTTTTGTATCTTAAGATGAAGGATTAGAAGATAAAAAAACAAAAAAAAAAAGAGAGTAAACTTCAAAATCATTAAGACAAAATCATTAAGATTTAAATTTTTTTTGAAAAAACTAATACTATATGGGTGGGCTAAAGTAACAAGTACTATTAAGGAAGTTACCAAATATGTGTTTGTAGAGTAAAATAATAAATTTCCTTTAAAAAAATATAGTTCATGGTAGAATATTAATGTGTAGGAAAAGAAAAAAAATAGAAGTTTTGTGATAAAAATTGAGTTAGATGTAAACACTTAAAATATTGGAAAGAATATAAGGTGATTTGCAGGGAGTCAAAGATAATACTTTGTGATGTAAAGAATTTTACTTGCAGTCATCTCTATAATAAATAAAATATCAAGAAGGTTGAAAAATGTATATAAAAGCCAGCCAAATTAAGAGATACAAAAAAAGTAAAGATTTAGTTCAAGTAAATTTCCTTGATGAAGAAAATCAAACATTGTTCTTTTCTATATAATGATATTCAATATAGGTGAGAGATAATTTCATAAAATTTTCAATGTAGATTATGAAAATATGCTCAACTTTAATGATTTTAATATCTTAAATAATAACGAAACTTTTTAATTCTGCCGCCATATCAGTAAAAAGAAAGTTGATGAAACGAAAGAAAATGAAGTGTGAAAAATTAGTAAGGCAGGATGGTATTTCAATATAAGTGTGAAAATATTTACGAAACTTGTGAATGTTTTGGCTTATAAAACTTTTTTTAATTTTCTTTAGAATCTAAAAAGATATATAGTGAATGGAGAAAGAGTATATTATTTCTTACTTTTAAGAATAAAGGAGATGCACGAATTTGTGCAAATTATAGAAAAACTAAGCTAATATGTCATAAATTAAAATTCTGAGATGGAATAATTAAGCATATGTTACAATGTGATACACAAATTTTTCAAAATGAGTTTGGATTCATGCCAAGAAAGTCTAATGTGGAAGCTATACAATTATTGAGAGGTTCAATGGAGAAACATAGAGAGAGTACGAAAGATTTACATATGATTTTTGTTGATTTAGAAAAAAAATTATGATATGATTTCAAGAGAAGTACTTGGGAGAGTTCAAGAAAATAAAATGTTGATATTGCTTACATTCAAGTCATTAAAGCTATGTATATTATAGATGTTACTTGTGTTTGAGCACAAGGAGGATTACTAAGTATTTTCCTATTTTAGTTGGATAATATTGAGGATTGACTTTAAGCCCATACCTTTTTATTTTAGTTACGAATGTTCTTACTTGACATTTAACAGAGTATTTACCTTGGTGTATACTTTTCGATGATGATATCCTTCTTGTGGATTAAACTTAGTTAGATTTTGGTGAAAAATTTAGTTATGGAGGTTTACTTTATAGAGTCTAAAGGCTTTCGTTGAGTAGATATAAAATTGAATACATGACATGTAAATTTGGTAGTAGTAGTTCTAATTGCTAACAATATGTGATCAAGTCAGTAAATAGAGTAAATGCTTTAGATATCATAGGTTTATTTTCAAAGTGATGGTGATATAAATGAGGATGTGATTAGTATAAATCAAGTTGGATGGTTGAAGTGGAGGAATGCACCAAGCTTATTGTGTGATAGAAAAGTATTGTTTAGATTTAAAGGAAAATTTTATAAGATGGCATGCATTATGACGTTGAATTTTGACTTGTAAAGGAGAAGCATAAAATTAAGTTAAGTGTTGCTGAGATGAAAATGCTTAGTTAGATTAGTAGCTTTACACTTAAAGACAAAATGTGAAACGAATTTATCCGTGATAGGGTTGAAGTGGCTCCAGTGGTAAATAAGATTAGTGAGAGTTGCACGGAATGCTGGCTAGTGAAAGAGAAGCATAAAATTAAGTTTAAGTGTTGTGAATATTTCCGTGAAATACCTCCAGTGGCAAACAAGATTAGAGGGAGCCACCTTAGATGATCTGGTGATGATAAATGTTTTACCTTTGATTTGTGTTAAGAAAGAGATAGACCTAAAAAGTACTTAGCATGTTTTATAAAAAATGATCTTAATTTATTAGAATTAAATGAAAACATGACACTCAATAAGATATAATATAGATATAATATAGAAAAGACACTCAATAAGATATAATATAGAAAAAGATTCATGTAATCGACCCCACTTTGTGGGATAAAGGCTTGTTGTATTTGATTAATAACTCAAAATTTTTATTTATTTTTAGAAATTTTTATAATGACGAAAAAATTTGTGGTGTGATGGTTTTGATAACATTGTAATCCTTTCTTTTTTTTGGTTTTAAATTATAATAATCATAACAGTTTTCAAAAAGCAATTTTTATCAAATTATCTTATAGTTAATTTTACAAATACATACATTTCATATTGAATCCTAAATTAAAGGGCATTTTTATTGTGATACACAATGTAATCCCTAAATGATCCAATTAAAAAGAAATAGTAAAATATTTTAATGTGCATTATACTCGCAACTATTTTTTTCATAAATGCCACACATTTTCATGTATTTACATATATGACATTTAAACATTAATATATATTTATACTACTTTAACAATGCATGAAATAAGTGTAAAAGTTCGTTATAAATGTCTAAATTGAAGTATGTGTTAACCATATAAATACATAAAAAATATGCGGCATGTATGTAAATGCCCAACATAAAAACATCAGCATCATTTACATATATATATATATATATA